TGATTTGTTAATGTCTAATTCATTGCCCACAGGTGGTTCTTTTTTTTTTATTTCTGGTCCAGGACTCCTTGTGATGTGGAAGAAGAAGAATACTCCATGGAGGTGGCTGTGTAATCAGATGATGTGCTTCTCTGGGGAGCTGGCTACACAGAGGTTACAAAGGCTTGCATTTTCTGAGACGCTCACATGGTAGAGAGCCTGGAGGACACCTATGTGTCCTTCGCTCCTGCTGAGAAGGGACAGAGACATATCACAACTACTTTTCCATGGAAGGGGGCTTGTGAACTTGCATAAACTTCATCCCCAAAGAAAAAGGAAGATACTGAAAGATATTTCACATGTCCTTTCTCTGTATTTGGACCTCTCTTACTTATTGGGCTTCCCTGGTGGCTCAGGGGGTAAAGCATCTGCCTGCAATGTGGGAGACCTGGGTTTAATCCCTGGGTTGGGAAGATCCCCTGGAGAAGGAAATGGCAACCCACTCTGGTATTCTTGCCTGGAAAATCCCATGGTCAGAGAAGCCTGGTAGGCTACAGTCCATGTGATCGCAATGAGTTGGACATGACCGAGCGACTTCACTCTCACTCTTACTTATTGGAAAGAAAGGATTAGGGAGAAAAAGTGTGGGGGAACGAAGCTGCCTTCCTTGTGTTCACTGTCTGTGTGCTCAGTTGTGTCCGATGGTGTAGCCTGCAGGCGCCTCTGTCCATGGGATTCTCCAGGCAAGAATACTGGAGTGGGTTGCCATATCCTTCTCCAGGAGACCTTCCCGACCCAGGGATAGAAGCCACGTTTCTTGCATTGGCAGGCGGATTCTTTACCATAGCCACCTGGGAAGCCCTGTGTATTCACTACCACAATCTAAACTATCATCAGCTGGTTGATAAGCAACAACATTTGAACTACAAAAGGAAAAAAATAAACTATCATCATCCCTTACAAGCATGCCCTCTAGTTTATTCAGTCCATTATTCTGTGTTATCCACTGTATTACTAGCACCTAAACAATACCTGACACATCAATAATTATTTTCCTCAACATTTTATAGTGAAAAATTTCAACACAGAAAAGTTTGAAAGAATTTTACATGAATACCAGTGTACCCACCACCTAGGTCCTATCACTAACACTTTAACATTTTGCTCCTGCATATATCAAGTGATCCAGTCTTCTTCATCCATCAGTTCCTCTAATTTTTTATGCATTTTCAAGTTGCAAATAGTATTCCTTTTCCTCTGAATACTTCAGCACTCATGTAACTAACTCAATTTGAGTATTACTAATTTTTTTTGAACATGCAATGAAATGCACCAATCTTAAGTGTACTATTTAATAGAATCCTGACAAGTGCATACACTTGTGTAATCCAAAGCCTTATCCAGAGACAGATCCTTATCCCTCTCCTCCACCCTCAAAAGAGGCCTCAGGCCATTCCCAGCTCCTCTCCACCTTCCTATCTCCCTACTCTATTTTTTTTTTAACCATAGATTAGTCTTGTCTGTTCTAGAACGTCATAGAAATGGATTCAGACAGGATGTAGTCTTTTGTGTCTGGCTTCTTTCACTCAGCTTCATATTTCTGAGATCACCCATGTTGTTGCACGTCATGAAGTTCTCAATAAATATTTACTTGCTGATTTTCATCACAGTGTCAATTAACCAGGGACTTAAGCCAACTAAATGTATTTAAATACAGTTATTATAGCTTGAATATCTTTACGTAAGCCTTTGTTGTGTGTGTGCTGGGGGGGCTTCAGCACTACTTTTTTGTCGATGATTCAGCAAAGGTAGGGAAGTTTTGCAGAAAAAGAAAAAATGCATCATCTTTTTAAAATTAAAATAGAAAGATACTTAAAGACAGTTATGATTTGCACACAAGACTAGCTAGACAGGAACTAGCCACCAGCCTCTCGCCTTCTTATAGGTGTGATGGCTAAACACAGCAGTGTTCACAGGAACATTTTTCTGTAATGGTCACTTACTATAGGCTACACCCAAAGGCAGGATGCAAAGTGGCCAAGGGCAGGGATCTCCAACCCCTGGGATCTAATGCCTGGTGATCTGAAGTGGAGCTGATGTAATAAAGTAAAACGCACAACCAATGTAATGTGCTCAAATCATCCAGAAACCATCCCTCCCCATCTCTGGTCCCTGGAAACATTGTCTTCTACAAAACCAGTCCCTGCTGTCAAAAAGGTTGAGGACTTCTGGCCAAGGGGGAGTTTGCATATTTGAGTTTTTTCTGAAGTAGTTCCCCATTCTCCAGGGAGGGAGGCTGAGAACCAGCTGGGAGGAAGTAGAGGGCAGAACGTCTCCTTGATGTCGGTTGTGGAAAACGTGACTGGCTTTTTGGGGGAGTACCAACTAGCTGCAAGAGGCTCAGCTGAAAATTCTCCAAAGAATCCCCGCTAGCCCACAGCTGTCTTCTCTAAGAGTGGGTTCCCAAGCTCAGGAAGGCTGAGGGGCACCATACTCTTCCCCTGAGAATTTCATGTTTATTCGTGATTTGACATTTCAGTTCAGTCACTCATTTTGGGTAGGGTTAATCAAACAGTTTCCATCCCTCAGAAACCGATGTTCTTATTATTCAAGGGGCTAAACTCACCTGTGGCCTGGAGCTGACCTCAGCTTACATGCACATCATATTCCCACCTGAAGGCATCTGGCATCTCAGGCAGCCATCCAGTCCCGTGTCTGGATCTAAACTCTTCAGCTAACCGCTTGACTCCTTCCTGAGGGGTGTGGGGAACAGGCCACAGGGGCACAGAAACAAAACAGATTCAGACATGGGGAACGCCAAGGAGTGAGCATTTTAAGACCTTACTAGCTTTTGTGAATTTTTTTCCCCCCAACACCAGCATTTTGCTTTTAAACCACTACTTAGCACCCCAATTAGGGAAAATTTGGAGGCAGAGGTGAGAAGCGGGGCAGATAGGAGGTGGGAGAGATTGGTTTCTATGGAAATGTTGGTGAGAAAAGTTTAGATGTGATTATGTATGAAAGCTGGATGTCTTGTATTTAGGATAATTGGGGGGAGCTGGGACTGGGGTTTATTAAAGCAAAACACCCCGGTTGCTACTGCTTATGATTCTGCTCTTGGAAATGTCCTTTCCAAAATATGGACTAGGTCTCCCAGCAATGACCATCAAGATGGGACATATTACCATTAAAAAGCTGTCTCTCTTAGGCTGTTAAAATGCCAATGTTTCTAAACCATCCTTGGTGATTCTGAACCAGTGTAAAGAGGTCAGTTAGCCGCCTTGTTTTATTCTCTAGCCTGATGAGATCAAGCATTGAAAATACTGTCCGTATCGACCCACCCACAAATAACCACAATTAGCCACCCTTTTATTCTCTTTTAACAAAGGAGCTTGGAAAATATTTTCCCTTGACCCCTGCAGCCCATCGTGGTCAACAGCTTCTGAAGGTCTGAGCCACGATTCGGCCCCTAAATAGTCACGCTTTCCCGTAGGACGGACCCCATATAGGGGTCAAAACTTGGTGCATCTTTCAGGGGAAATCGATCTTTTTCCTAAAGAGACCCCCTCCAACACAACAGCAGGTCCCCCCCCTCCAGAAAGGGATTGGTAGAGGCGTTAGGCAGGTTTCCTTTGACCTTGGTTGTGACCTAGAGTGTCGCTCTTAATTGCGAGACTCTCCTCAAGGTAGAAAATGGCACTGGTTTCCACTGCTACCCCAGAGAAGCCCAGTTGTGCTGCCGGGCGACAGCAGGGAGACAGTCTCTCCCAGGCTGGGCTCCGGCCACCCAGAGCGGCTCCGAGGCCGCCTACAGGTGCAATCCCGGCACTGCGTCCCGGGCGGCGGGGCGGGAGGACACGAGCCCCAGGGGTCCGGCCTCTCCCCCGGCCCCGCGCCGAGGCTGCGCGGGGCCCTCGACCCCCCATCCCGCCGGCTTCTCCGCCTCCGCCCCGGCGCGGTTGGAGAAGGAAGCTGGGGGCCCTCCCGAGCTCCGCAGACTCAGATTTGGGCGGCGGCGGGGCGCGGCCGAGGCTTCCCCTCGCCTCTGCGGCCAACCCGGCTCCGGGAAAGTTTTCCCAAGTTCCCAGTACCCCCAGCGCCGGGGGCGTGGCGCGGGCGGGCACGCCCCTCATGAATATGAACGGACGCATGCGCCGGCCCCGCGCGCTGGGTAGAGGTGGCCAGCCCCGGCCGCGGCTCCCAGACCGGCTCCCTGAGTCCCTCTCCGAGAGCCGGGCGGGCGGGCACGCGTCATTGTGCTACCTGCGGCTGGCCCGCGAGCTGGGCTCCGGCTTTTTTTTTTTTTTCTTCCTCCCCTCCCTCCCTCCTCTTCAAGCAGCTGATCTGAAAGGAAATAAAAGGCTGCGCATAATCATAATAATAAAAGAAGGGGAGCTCGAGAGAAGGAAAGAAAGCCAGGAGGTGGAAGAGGAGGGGGAGCGCCTCAAAGAAGCCATCAGAATAATAAAAGGAGGCCGGGCTCTTTGCCTTCTGGAACGGGCCGCTCTTGAAAGGGCTTTTGAAAAGTGGTGTTGTTTTCCAGTCGTGCATGCTCCAATCGGCGGAGTATATTAGAGCCGGGACGCGGCGGCCGCAGGGGCAGCGGCGACGGCAGCACCGGCGGCAGCACCAGCGCGAGCAGCAGTTCTCCCTTCCCCTCGCGGCGCTCCTGGACGCCAGCGGTTGAGCGTCTGGAGCGGGCTTCGGAGCCCTGGGGCGCCGGCTACCGCCTGGGCCCCTGCGCCCGATAGGCTGCACCTGGGCCAGGGGGACTCCCGGGCTCCCAAATGTACCCTCCAGGCTAGGCAGAACGCGCGTTCGCGCCGCTCCTGTTCCCAGGGGACCGTCGTGTCGGATTGTTCCCACACTCGAGGCTCTTAAGCCCGGGAATCGCTTTGAGTCCTTGCACCCAGTTTTGCAAAATGTTTCACTTGGCGCCAAGGGCTCGTCGGGGAGGGCGGGGAGGGAGTCGCCGCTTCCACCCTCGAAGAAAACAACTTTCCCCTGCGCTGACCTCTCTCCCTCCCTCGCCGGCAGGTGTGCGGGGCCTCGGGGCAGTTCGAGCTGGAGATACTGTCCATGGAGAACGTGAACGGGGAGCTTCAGAACGGGAACTGCTGCGGCGGCTCCCGGAACCCGGGGGACCGCAAGTGCTCCCGCGACGAGTGTAACACGTACTTCAAAGTGTGCCTCAAGGAGTACCAGTCGCGCGTCACGGCCGGGGGGCCGTGCAGCTTCGGCTCGGGGTCCACGCCTGTCATCGGGGGCAACACCTTCGACCTCAAGGCCAGTCGCGGCAACGAACGCAACCGCATCGTGCTGCCTTTCAGTTTCGCCTGGCCGGTGAGTGGCGGCCGGGCCGGGGGTCGGACCCGCGGGCCGAGGTCTGCTTTCTCTTGCGAGAGGAGAGGGATTTAAAGGGCCTTGGCTGGAAACTCGGCGCAGGCCGGGGACGTCGATGCGGGGGTGCGGGGGTCGTCAGGGAGCTGAGGCTCTGTGCTAGATCTTGGCAGGCTCCAGCCCGGATGCTTTTTGCTTCGCGTAAAAAAAAAAAAAAGGAAAGTGGGGCTCGAGAGAGTATTGTGGGGCAAGGCTCCCGGGAGGGCCGGTTGAAACTTGCAACTTGGAGGCCCCAGAGTAACCGCCCGAGCCAGGAGGTCATTATGGATGATCTTTGCTCAACCAATTAAACCTGATGCGCTGTGGAAGGCGGCTGGGCACAATTCTGGCCTCCGAACGCCGTCCAATTGGCACCCTCCCGTTTCCCGTGAGAAGCCCGGAGGGCGGGCGTGTCCTTCCTGGAGGGTGTGGGGGGACCGCTTCCCGCTGCTCCCCGGGAGATTTCGGTGCGTGCGGGGGCGCGCTCCGGACCCGGTTAGGGCCGGGGGTTGGGGGGGCCGGCGCCGCGGGCTGGCCCGGCTCTGGCCCGCGCCGCGGGCCCGGGAGCCTCCGCCCCCTGCCGTTCCCTTCCTGCCCTCGCCCCCGCGCGGCGTAGCTCTGGTGGCCTCACTTCCAGCGGTTCCCGGGCTCTGGAACAGCTGTGTTTGCAAACTTCCCCGGGAAGGGCGGGGGTGCGCCCTCGTCCGGTAGGCGCGCGGCCCCCGTGAGCTTCTGGGGGGCACGCAGAAGCTGGGAACGGGCGGCTCGCCGGAGGCAGGCCCTGCGGGAGCAAATCCAGAGCCCCCGGCTCCAGAGCCGCTCCAGGCCCCGGCAAAATCCCGAGCTGGGTGGAAGGAGATGAGCGCGGCCGCAGCAGAAAGGGGAGGGGGACGTGTGGGTGCCCTCTGGCCCACTCCCGCCGCCAGGGAGGCGTGACTCGGTGCCAAGACCGGGGCTCGCCGGCCCTGCGCCGGGCGGGCGGTGAGAGGGGGCGCTCGGTGCCCCGCGGGGTCCTCTCCGCCACGTGCTCGGACGGGGCGCGCTCTGCCGCCTCCTACCGCGGGCTGGGGCTGGGATCCCGACTGCCGCAGGGGGGAGGGAGCTGGCCTCGGAGTGTGTGGGAAGCCCCGGCGGCTCTCAGGCCCGCGCTGACTGGAGCTGGCACTACAGAGTGCCCTCTGCCTGGCTGAGATAAGACAGTTATCAGAAACGTGCCATTAAATGGGGCTTATAAAACCCCGTGGTTTGTGGGATTCTCTGAGAACGGAGGACTGGGCCTGTTGCGGGATTTCATTTTTACAAAGAGCGTTTATCTTGTTTGCTAATCCCCTATTAGGGAGAACTCTAAGCTAAAGAGGTTGGCCACGTTTTAATCTGGCTGGACCCAAGTTTACTGTGAGGGCTGACGGCCCTCGCCCTTGACCGTGTGTTTGGAGTTAGGGGGAAGGGGCCCGCAGGTGGCCCCACCGCCGGCAGGACCCGTGTGGAGCCCCTCGCTTTTCACAAGACCATAAAAGGAATCCTGTTAGTGATGTGGGAAAGCTGCAGGGCTGGCTGAGGCTCCTCGTGGGGAGCAGGGTCAGAGCACCAGCCGCGATGAGCCGGGGGAGTCTCGCTCCCCAGGCTGGCTGGGGAGGCTGACCCAGAAGGTGTGTCTGTCTCCTTTTGACATTTGGCGGAGAGCCCTAGATGGGAATGGGCGGAAGCGGTGTAGGAGGGCAGGGAGAGGATGGATTCGCTGGTGCTCTTCTGCGGTTTTCAGGCCCCACGGGTCACCAACCATGAAATAGACTCTTGGCTTTTCTCGAATGGGGAAGACAGCTGGGGCTGCACTGAGAATGCGGTTCTTTTGAAGCTGGGCCAAATGCCTGTGTCCCTCATAAACACGTCCCCACCCCATCACCCCCAGAAGGGCTGCTGTGCCATGTAAGCCTGACTTCCCACGGGAGTGTGGACTTGGGGTGTGCCGTGTTGTTTGCTCCAGTGTAGCTGGAGAAACCCTAACGTCTGTAATGTGCAAGAATGATTGCAGCGCGAGTGTTAACTGAAGTGAAAGCACTTAGGTAGCTGCATAAGTATGGAAGTAGGTTGCACAGCTTCGTTTCAGCTTGCTAATTAAATATTAATGAGTGTGTCTATTTAAAGCTGCTATCTTGAATAGGTAATAACTGAATTGGGTACAGAATTCAAGGAGGATATGGTTTGTTAAAACAATCACACACCTTGAACTTCCAGGCCCCTAAGCTTCTAACCCTTAGGCAGCCACAGTTGCCATCCGCGTGGGTCCTCCCAGGTTTGCTGAAAGTGGTAGAGAGGTGGTTCAGAGTGCAGAGAAGATCACTTTAGAAGGTGGTGTAATTCACGCCTTTTGTTTGGAATTATAACCCAAATCCAACAACTGCTCATGTTCTAGAATGGGAGAGGAGGCAATGATTTGGTCAGATGTGAAGTATAATCCAAGGCTCGTGTCCTTGCCAGCAGCTCTGTGGTGTGGGTCTGCCCTCTGGACAGTATCTGACTGTGTCCCACTTGGGGTCCACTGCCCCAGCCTGGCGGTGCTGTTCTTCTGTGGCTTCTAATTACCCTAGCAGTGCTGCTGGAAGGGGCTTGACTTGAAGCAATGAGGCTGATTTATGATCCTCCAATCAGGGGACCCAGTGATAAGACCATACATTATCAAAGGTAATTGGGCTCAACGGGAAAAGATTGGGGAATAACCATTTAGAAATCACCTAAATGGGTAAGTTGCACTTTCCAAAATTAGTACTAAATCCCAGGAGTGCCTGCTCATTAAAAATACATTAGTGTAATTACCATTATCCAGCCTGAAAAGCTTTTTAGGAACCCTAGTTCGCTCTACTGATGCTTTGCTGGCCCTAGAGTGAAGTGAATCTGGAGAAACTTTGTCAGAAGCAGTTCAGGCACCTCACCCCTCCACCTCTTATTTAAATGCCATTGACACTGAGTAAGTCAGATGCTGCAAGGTTAGTTACAGACTGCCACTGACATGCCTTTGCCTTTATGCTGTCCTTCCAGGTTCCTGGGGCTTCCCTTGTAAAGAATTCCCTGGTAAAGAATCCACCTGCAATTCGGAAGACCTGGGTTCGATCCCTGGGTTTGGAAGATGCCCTGGTGAAGGGAAAGGCCACCCACTCCAGTATTCTGGCCTGGGGAATTCCATGAACTGTATCGTTCATGGGGTTATAGAGAGTCAGACACGACTGAGCAACTCTCACTTTCCAGGTTCCTGGGCCTCCACACATGGGTAGCCAGTGGAGGGATGGGGTTCTCATTGGAACTGGCCCCTTTCTGCAGTCAGAATGTGCCACCCACGTGATCAGCGTGCGTGCACACAAACAGCTCACGTGCGTACATGCTGATAGCAAGGGACTTTCTGTGTGTGGGGAAAACACCCTTTGCCCTAAAACACCTCCCTCATACTAAAGCGATGAAATGATATGTCTGCATTGCAAAACCTGGCTGGGGAGAAAATTGAGCTGTGCTCACTTGGTGCTGTGGGTCTGCAGAATGGCCGCTCCCCATGTGGACCTCCTGTGCAAGGTACCAGGTTTCTCGTAGTTTTTTCCTCTTCCAGGTGTAGTCTCGGTGTGTTCTTCTCCTTGTTGTCTTGTTTCTTAGCAACTTATTCAAATCTCCAGTACTTAAATGAGTTTGCAACCCACCAATCCACACCCATCATTTTACAGGGACTTCAAACATTTCTCAAGACTGGTAGAGCTTTTGGCTTGCAGGCACTTAGGGAAGTTGGATGGGTGAGGAGGAGGGGCAGCAGCCCCTTACAAAGCACGCAGCTTCCTTGAAAACCAGCCATCTGAACGCTGCCTAAAATCTGTACAGCAAACGGTTGTAACGGACCTTTTGGATGGAAGGCACGTGAAAAGTTTAGCATGGAGGAAAAATGTTATTCATTAAAAAATGAAGCCAAGGCAACAAAGAGTCTTCACATCCTGATCTGAAAACAGGAATGCAGAGGCCTGGGCTGGATTTGGAGCAGCCGCTGGCCCATTGTAGGAGGGCCAGAACCTGGTTCTAGTGCCAAGTGTTCAAGATTAGTTACCGTGTAAGAATGCATAATCTCTGGACGTGCATACAATTAGCATGGTAATCCGTAAAGGCAAATATTCCTGAGAATTCCCCTTAGTAAACTTCTAGAGACATGTTTGTACCCTCTCTGCCAAGGTGAGGTTCCAAGCTGCACCAGTCTTTAAATACATTAAAAAAAAAAGTTAGACCCAAACACAGCTAACCTAGTTTTCAACTTTAGGAAGATGTTTGTGTTAGTACACATGGAAAGTGATGATTGTTGGGTGTTCTAGAGGAGGAGGTCCTGTGTTGTGACTCCCATACTGGTCTCTGACCCCTCCCCTGTGGTCCTTGATTTTATGGCACCAACGGCATTTGTCTCCGGTGCAGTGTGTGTGCAGGGAGGCAGTTCCGCAGCGCGGGTCCCAGTGGCTAACGTGGCACATAAGTAGTCAGACATCCAGGGTCCTCCGCCAGCTCAGCCCAGTTTCTGCGCACTTTGGTAAATGAGTAGAAAGGCATCTTGTTCAGGCTTGCTCTGTGTGAACCGGACGGTTGTGCTTGGCTGGCTTCTCGGTATTCTATCTATTAACCTCGCCACCCTTTTGTAACTGGTGCATTTAATTATCAGTGGGATGCTTTTCAAACAGGTAGGGGTAATGATGGGAAAGGGGGTGGGGGCATCTCATTGAGAGTCTCCAATCTGGATCCGAGCTTTGGGGCCCCACTTGGTGAGTCTTTGCGGTGGGGTTTCATGAGAAAATCACCCTTTGTAACCAGATCAGACTCTATTGAAATGTCAAGCCCTGCAGACTAAATTGCTTTCCATGACTGAGGTTTCAGCTGGGCCGCCATGGGGTGGCTGTCCCCGCTCCGCACCTCATTTTGCCTGAACCCCGCCACACACGTCAGTCGTCAGGGTGAGCACGTGTGTGCCCACACATGGCATTTCTGGAGCCTTTATGTAATATGTTTGTGCCTGGAATATATTCTACTCTGGCCACCCAGACGCAGGCAGGACAATAGTGTGGCCGGATTGACTGAAACGAGGATTACAGGGAATAATGCCGCCGCCTCACAAATAGTGCAGAGACAGGGCCAGCCACAGGATGCGGCCGTCGAGTCAGCAGAACCCAGGGCCCCAGCCTGACCGGGGCGATGACTGTGTACAATGGTCCCCGAGCACGCTGGGCGCTCCCAGGGCGCGCTCCCTGCCGCCCGCCGGGGCCTCTGGATGCTGCACGCGTGCTCTTTGCAGGGTGGGCTGTCTGCATCCCTCAGCTTGGCAGGAGGGGAGACAGCCACTTCTCAGGGCTTGGTGTGGCTGCCACTGTTGCCAGGAAAAGGAAGCTCCTAGCTGTCAGCACAACCACCTTTGTTTCTCACATCCCCCCTTCTTAATGTGGCAATTCAGTGCTTACCACTCTGCCCGGTGCCAAGGTAACCCCCACAGGGGGGATGGGGGCGCTTTGAGGCCAGGACCCTCCTCGAGGTAGAATCCCAGGGCATCCTCTCCAAAGGGCCTTCTGAAAGTGGACCATTGCTCCTTCTGCTGCGCGGAATGGAGACCCAGCTCCCAGGTTGCCAGGGTCCCTGGAGCTGGGGAGGGGCAGAGGCACTCACTCTGAGCCCAAACAGAAGGTCTGATCCTGCCCACCCCTCCTGCTTTGCCCCCTGGCTGTTTTTCTGGGAAAAAAGGAAAAATAGATGAATGCCAGATAGCTTTATATAAGAATCCTCTTCTCACAAACTGAAACCAAGAAAAACCCAGGTGTCTGCTGTTTCTTTTGTGTTTCCTTGGGGGGTGGGGATGTTTGTATGAACTTGTTAGTAAGTTGGAACACCTGCCAGTCATCTCACCTGCCGCCCATGCCACGCCGTGAGGAGGGCCCTGGGACTCAGCCCCCGTTGGGGTTAGGTTGGCAGTGGTCATGTGCGTGTGATGTGATTGTAGCAGAATGCCGATTTGGGACCTGGTAGCTGGCCTTGATGGCCTAAGGTGTGCATGCGTGGTCTGCATCCTGGATGTGTACCTTCTGGGATGCACAGAGGTCAGGCGTGGGCCTGGGAAAAGTTAAAGTTCCCTAGCAACTAATAATCATTGCCAAATTATCTTGATTGTTGATCTATAGTGTGGGGACGGAGTGGGAGGTGAGAGTGCCTCCTAATAGGAGCCTCGGAGAAGAGTCTTTGCTCTGAAGGTTGAGTGGGGAGGAGTCCTCCTGGCCCAGGAGCTGAGTCCTAGAACTGTGGTCCCTCCTCTGAAGCCTGGGAGTGAGACGGTCCAAAACCGCCAATGGTGCAGCCCCCAGCCCACCTCTTAGTGTGGGGACGGAGTGGGAGGTGAGAGTGCCTCCTAATAGGAGCCTCGGAGAAGAGTCTTTGCTCTGAAGGTTGAGTGGGGAGGAGTCCTCCTGCCCCAGGAGCTGAGTCCTAGAACTGTGGTCCCTCCTCTGAAGCCTGGGAGTGAGACGGTCCAAAACCGCCAATGGTGCAGCCCCCAGCCCACCTCTGTCTCCTAGAAGGCGGTTCGTGGGAAGACCCAGATGCTGCCCTCCTTCCCCTCGAGGCGGGGCGTGTTGGCCAGCGGCTTCTGAGGTCTCCCAGTTCTGGGAGGATGAGTCTGAAGGCAGCCTGGCCTCCCAGGACCTAGTGTGAGAACCATGCCGCCCCCTCCCGTGAGCATTAAGCAGTCCCTGCTGTCAGGCCAGCTGACCCCAGAGGCCCTTCCTTTCGCGGGGCTCGCAGGCATTACATGTTTAGTGCTGGTGCGTTTAATCAGAGGATAAATTGCAGCAATATGTGCAAGTGGAGAAGGTGGGTCTCGTCGTGACCGGTAAGGGAAGGGCTCGTTATCCAACATCAGACCCGCATGTGGCCTCATATGGACCTGGCTTTCATCTCACGTCTGCAGAGAAACTTCACTTCTTGCTGTTCTCAGGGAGGGGTCCTGTAATTTGTAGGAAATCGTAGGAAATGCAGAGGCAGTAAATAAGGTGTAACTTTCACTAATAAAATATCAACAATGACAGCAGTGAATTTGGACCTCTGGCCGGTCGCAGGAGAGGGCTGGGTATATGCCCCGGCTTGCCTGGTTCTACTTGCTTTTCAGAGCATTTTCCCACAGTTATCAGTGAACGAAATGGAATCCTACTCTGCTTTGAGTATGAAACATATTTCGGCTGAATTCCAAGGCAGGGTCTATCACAAGATATTTTTATATTCAAAGACCTGCTGGGTTACTGTGTGAGCAGTAAGCTTGCCTTGAGTTATGAATGAAGCTTTTTTTTTTCTTCCTCCCCCCTTCTGTTTTTGCCTTCACCTTGTAGTTGTGTTGTTTGATCCATACACACTGCTCTTCCCAGCGTCCTGGTGTTGGACAGAGAAAGGCAGGGATGCATAGAAACATTCACATGCCCTTCCTCTCCATCCCACCCCCTCCTGGATACATTTCCCATCACGAAGACAGCAGAAGCTTTCTTGAAAGCCTGGTGTTTTGTGAGACTGACCTCATCCTAAGTTACAAATGAAGATTTGAGTAAAAGCGGGAATTTGCTGATGGCTTGGGTTTTGGGGGGAGAGGTGGAATTCTGAGATAAGCTGGAAGATAAAAGGTGCCCTCAGTAGGATTGCTGGCGTCCCGCCAGTGTCCAGGGAATTTGTTTGGTTAGTGGACTCTGATTATTCCTGGAATGTTAGATCTTATTGACAGATAAGTTTATCAATAAATATAACCCATAGAGTGCAGCTCTTTCTTCCTTTTATACTTCCTTTCCTATCGTCTACCAGCCCCCCGCCCCCGGCACTGTGCACCCCTAAGTTAGGTTACTGCCTTTGTGTTCAGAGTCTCTTTGCACCTACCCACCCCTCCTGCTTCCTAGAGTCACCTGATACTTGTGGGAGCCGAGATGGTCTCACACAGACAGGGCTTTCAAAGGGGTTCTGAAAAGGAAAGGGGGCCCCCTGGGGACCTCCCCAGCAAGGCCCGGAGTGAAACAGCAGTCCGCAGCCCTCCTCATTGGATGAGCACCCCCACTCCCCAGCCCAGATACCTGGGTAGGTTAGCTGAGAATCAGTTCTTTGTGCAGCTTTCTCGGGCATCATGCTAAGAGGCTGGAAAGTTTGGGGAAACCACACGTTGAGTGTGCACAAATAGGGAGGTGGCATTTCCTGCTCGGAACTTGGGGCTACCTGCTTGTGGACGACAGGGAGCGCTGTCTCTTCTGTCAACTTGGGGTGGGCTCTGGGGGTGGTGGGGAGCTGGTCTGGGTCTGAGCACCCAGGGCCTCGCTTCACAGCAAAGACAGGTTCCATCTCGGTGCAGAGCATGCAGGCAGGCCGTGAAAGCCTGACCTTTGCGAGCTGACCCCAGTTTCTGAGTACTGAGCTGTTGTTTATCTGTGTTTCAGAGGTCCTACACTTTGCTTGTGGAGGCGTGGGATTCCAGCAATGACACTGTCCGTAAGTATCAAACCAGGGGCTCAACCTGTGAGTCTGGAAGCACAGAGCAGGCCCCCGAGCCTGTCAGACCCTTCTGTACCCACCCACCCCCTACCCTGAACCTCTCCATGGAGTCTTTTACCATCCCTTCCCCTAGAATTTTCCCTTGGAATATTAAGTGGCCAGGACAGATTGCTAGTTAACTCAGCCCCTGAATACAGGCCTTAGATTATCTTTAGGATAGAGATCTTAATGGTTTTACAACTCTAAAACCTTGTAGACTGTGAAAGGATCAAAGTAGTGACTTTTAAAAAGTCCATTTAAATTTTAAGTGAGTGTTTAATCTCTCATCGGAAAGATAAAGCCCCAGAGGTGACTCTGGGCTCAAAAGACCGACTTTGAATTTCACTCGGTGGGCAGGTGAGCCCTGAGCGTCTGCGTTTCCCGCACTGGCCATGACAGTCCTTTCGCTGAAGTTGGTTCCAGTGCCTCATGGCCACCACGCCAGGCTTGTCCGCTTCTGCAAGTGACCCTGTTCTCAGCATGGGCTCCCCTGCTGGGGGTGGGCGGGCACAGGGGCGGGGGTGGTGGGGAGGGCCTTCGCTCTCGAATTGTGACTTCCAAATACGCCTCCCCTCCCTGGCTGATTCTGCCAGTTCCCCTTTTGCCAGCAGGATCTGGGTGGTTGTCATGGGGAATCTTGGTTCACGCTGAAATCCGAGTCTGCAGGAGAGGAGGGCTCATCAGCCTGCTGCCTCTGACCTTTCCCCCCGCGGGTCTCACCCTCTGACCCTGCTATAGTGACATTTCCCTCTCTCCCCGCCTTCCTTTTTCTTCCTGACTCCGGGGTTGGTGAACACCAGAAGGGGCACCGGAGGGCCTGCCCCATCTCACTGGGCCGCCTGGGCCCACCTGGTTGCTGCTGAGCCCATTACCTGAGGCTCCAGGCCGTTTGGGTCACCCCTCCCTTTGGCATCTGAGTCTCTGAGCGGTGCCCTGTCCCGCTGTGGTGGGGGGAGGGGAGTCGGCGCCCAGCCTGGGTTGCGGCTGGTGCCAGTCAGGGCGGTGGGCTCCTGCTTGGTCCCTCCCTGCCACGCGCGTTGGGGGCTGGGTGAGCCTTATGTCACAGGGACCTGCTTGCAGTGGTCACTAAGCATTGGGGTGACGGGCGTGGGGCAGGGATAGGCTCCCCAGATATCCTGGTGTCGATGTTGACACAGGCTGGTGGGGTGAGCGTCCTTGAGGTTCCCACTGGCTCCTGGTGAGAGCCGGATCAGGATACCTGTCGGGGTGTGCAGGGAGCCCCAAGCATCTGCTGGGCCCTTTTGAGGCCTCCTATCACCCACAGGTCAGGCGGCTCTTCCCCCGGAAGCGGGGCCCACCCAGAGCTGCCCACAGTTGTCTGCTCCCTTTGGGGGTTCTGGAGCCTCTCTTCCCTTGCTGGGAGGTAAAACCATGGAAACATTGGGGTGGGGATAAAGGGCTCCCAGACCTTTACCCCTGAAGTGAAGGGTTGCCTCCAAGTCGCGGGATGTCCCCTACAGGGCACTTAGGCTCACATTGAGAACTCGATGAGGAGGAGCTGGGGTTTGCTGGGAGTGGCTTATCCACTTGCTTGTCCAGCTTCCCTTCTGCAGTGCTTCCAAGGTATCCTGAATTAGAGCATGTTCAGAACCCATTGTGTCATCTTCCCTCCCCAAAGCGGAGCTTGCCTAGGGCCCTTGATGGTGACTGGCAGCAGCATTTGAACGCCCAGGACTATACCAGGAGTCTGGGCGGCACTCCCTGTGTACCGCCCTCTCTCCGTGTTGGTGTCTAGTTCACCTCCGAGTTCTGGCAGTCTTTTGTCCAGCACTCACTGGCATCCTGCTGCAGTCCTGGTCTGCGCCACCGTCTGCTCGTGCCTGAACTCTGTAGTAACGGCTGAATTAATGGACCTCTGTCTGTCTGCCCTGGTCCACTTCTGGTGCTTTCTGCATTCTCCTGCCATCTTCATCTTTTCAAAGTGTACTATTTGAGTATCACCTTGTAAGAGCCATTGGCAGCTTGGACAGGTATCTGTGGCCCCAAAGCCTCTGGTACAGCCCGGCTTTGTCTCCCTGCCTGCTCCATCTCGGCCACACTGTCATCTGTCACAGCCGTATGATCGTACCGCACCAGTCACCTTTCTGTTCTCAAAGGCATCACATTCTGTCCTGCCTCAAGGCCTTTGCACGTGCTGGTCCCCCTCCCTGGAGTATTTTGCTTTTTACTCCCTTCACACTATGCCTCCCAAGGGGACTGCCCTCCACGAGGGCAGAAACTGAAGCTGTGTAGTAACCCAAATGGAGTTGGCTGCTCTTTGAGCACCAAACAAGGCTTCAGATTTAGAGGCAGAGCCCTGAGCTTCGGAACGGAGAATTCCCTCGCACAGCAGCCCTGCAGTGAGCCCTCAGGCGCACAGCCCGGCCCAGGCGAAGCCCAGGAGACACACATGTGTTAGAAAGTGTTGTCTGAGGCTGCCTTGCTGTCATCTGCCCTCACAGTCATCGCTCGCCTCTCAGGCCTGCGCTATCTAAGGGTACAGATTTTACTCTTTCCCAGAGCAAATGATTTCTTTTTATCACTCTGATCGATAGGTATGTAAACACAAGTTGGCATCCTTAGACCAGGTTTTCCTTATATCTTACTTAGCCTTCTTGGCCAAGGTTGCCATCTAGGTTTGTGGTTGGCGTGGTTCCAGGGTTCTGCTCATACTTGCCTCTCATGCCCTCCTCCTTGGCCTGCAGAACTGTTGGGGCACTTTGCCTTCCATCTTCACGCAGTTCATGATTGCAGGAAAGCCTGCTAACATTCCCTTCTACTCTCTTTTTTTATTCTTTTTTATCACTGTTATCTTTGGGTGTGCTGCGAGGCCTGTAGGATCTTAGTTCCCAGACCAGAAAGAGAACCAGCGTCCCCTTCATTAGAATGTGGATTCTTAACCACGGGACGTCCAGCCTTTAAGCTGGACTGCCAACTGAACTTGCCCAGAAACACTGGTAGCGCCCCGAGCTGATAGGAAGAGTGATTCAGGTGGCAGGAGCTTAGAAAAAACTGCCAGTAGACATGCTCTCTGTAACGCGGATGCCAGGAAGTGTGTCACAGACACCCTAGACTCCCTCTCAGCCCTTAGGAGGAATCTGTCATGCAGGTGTGAAGGTAGCTGCATGGCCCTGTTTGCCTCACTGAGGACTCTGACATGATGTCTCCACAACATCTCCTGGAAACAGCACGGCAGCGAGCTGACTGACGCGGCAGCCTGTGCCTTTCGGAGTGCCCTGGACTCCCGTCTGTTTGTCCTTACCTGCCTGAGTGGAGGGGAGGCCTTGGAGCCAGGGCCAGTGTGTTTCAGTAATTCCTTTATTAAGATCTCATCATCACATAGTAATAGCTCACTCCACTTTTTAATTGAACCAGCAGAGCAAACACACAGTTAATAGAGGGACATTTTTGTCATTCTTTGGCCCGTGTTTATTTGCAAAACTCAGGTTAGGAGAGCGTTCTCTGCAGGTGCTTCATACATGCTGGGGTGTAGGTCTGCAGGTATGCGGGCTTGTCCAAGGCTTGTCCTGCCCAAAGGTAAGCGCCCAGAGGGTGCGGACTGGGCGCTGTCTGAGGTGGAGTGTAGCTGAGGCCACCCAGGAGGCCCGCGTCCTGGTCACCTGTGGCGTTGGCCCAGCTTTGCAAATGAGCACAGGCCCTGGGCCTAGAAAAACAGGGGTGTGGGTGGGTAAGAATCACAAAGACACTGCATGCAGGCCATAACGGTCGCTCCAAGGCGGCCTTGGATTTGACATGGTGTCCAGGGATGATGCTGGCAGGTTTAGGAAAACAAACGCAGGACCAGGCTGGGTGCTGACCTGGGGCCTCGACTCCTGCCCACAGCCCTGCTCCGAGCTCTGACACCTGGAGTCTGAAGCTGTTTTTGTATTTGTCTCTTATCCAACTAGATGATAAGTGACCTCAGGGCAGGGACCACTGCCTCTTCCTGGAGCTGCTTAGGCCCCGGGTGAGTCTAGGCACTCTTTAAGGAGCCTGACTTGGCTGGAAAACACCCTCAGTCCACCTGTCTGTAAACTGGGGTGGATGAGTTTCCCATCTGCCCTCTGGGCAAAGGTGGTTCAAATACATCAAGTTCGTGGTATTGCTGTTTAAACACCAGCTTAAGAGGCAGCAAAGTTCTCAACTTAAAAAAAAACACCCAGTATTACTCTTTGGCTTCCAGTGAAGAGTTTGGGAGTAGACACAGCTTTTCTAAAGCAAAATACACAACTCTAAAACCAGAAAAGAAAGGTTGCTAACCTTAACTTGGGATAATGAAATTTCTTGAAGAGTAGCCTTCCATAAGAGAGGGGCCTCTTTCTATCACATATAAAGAGCTTCTGCAAACCAGTGTTACCAACAGCACAACAGAAGATTGGGTGAAGGAGAGAAAGAGGCTTGCAGTTCTGGGGAACAGATACACATGGTTTTGTCGAAAGGGTTCTCACCATCACTTACATACCCATTCAATCTGGAGGTCCAGTAACACACAGTGTTTTACATACCCATTAAACCTGAAGGTCCAGTAACACAGTGTTGGCACTGCTGTTGGGAAAGTTTCCTGTGCTGGTGGGAGAGCAGAAGGACAGGGCTTCAATCCCTGTGGTTGGAGTTTTCTGGGTGGAACTGGGTTGTTTATGTGTGTGTCTTTGACCTAGTACTTCTGTTTCTGGGATATTTCTTTCTTTTAGCACCACATGCAGGCAGATATGTTCAAGGCTGTTCCTTGTGGCCTTACTTATTAACAAAAGGCCAAAACAACCTCAATGCACATGTCAGAAACTAGGTAAATAATTTCACTTTATTTGCAAACAATGAAATGCTGGAAGTAAGAAGGTAAATGTACGGTGGGTGCCTCTGGAGAGGGAGATGAATGGCTCGTTTTCGAGCTTTGATACTGTTTGAATTTTGTACCAGGTGCATTTGTTATTAAAAATCATCAGAATGGTTGGGGGAGAAATCTCCCATGTGAAGTTTACTGTGATTAATTTTTTTTTTTTGCCTCTAGAACCTGACAGCATCATTGAAAAGGCTTCCCACTCAGGCATGATCAACCCCGGCCGGCAGTGGCAGACTCTGAAGCACAACGCAGGGGTTGCCCACTTTGAGTATCAGATCCGAGTAATCTGCGATGATTATTACTATGGCTTCGGCTGCAATAAGTTCTGCCGACCCAGAGACGACTTCTTTGGACACTATGCCTGTGACCAGAATGGGAACAAAACGTGCATGGAAGGCTGGACGGGCCAGGAGTGCAACAAAGGTGTGTGGGCGTGCTCGCCGCTGTCACCGTGAGGGCCGCGGTCTCGCCCGCCTCCGGTCAGGCGGCCTCCCGGGCATGCGAGGCGCGGGCTGATTTCTAGGCCCCAGACACACAGCTGCTGTGGGTACCCCCTCCCCCGGGTGCTCCGAGCCTTGCCCACTCACCCCTCACAGCAGCTCCATCTCTGGAGCGCTGCCCTGGGCTAAATGGGTGCCGCCTAAGGCCCAGCCCCTCCGGCTCGGCCTGTGAATGGCTGACACCGGTGTGTGCGGCCACACCCCCACGGCCTTGATTCAGGGCTGCAGTCCGCACTTCAGAGCGGGCCGAGGCCGGGCTCGGGCTCATTCCAGTTCCCGCTCGGCCTCTCCCGCTCCTGCGCTTGCTGCTCGATCGACCCCGCTTCTCGGGGTCTGTGCTTAAGGCCCCTGACCTAACAGAAGCTGGCTGAGACGGGGTTACCCGTGTCTGAGAGCCTGTGAGAAGCGACACCCCGGGCTCAAGGTGGCCTCCCGCAGTCTTCACTGGACATCCCTTGGGGGGACGGCTTTGGGGGGAGAGCGAGCAGTGAATTGAATGTGCCCACAGCGGGACACACCCCCAGACGTCCCCTCGACTGTCAGCCCCGACTGCTAGAATTCAGGGAGTTCGCACCAGTTCACAGGTGTGCACAGAACTGTCTGTGGGCTTCCCCTTTACAAAGCTGCTCATTCAGAGCAAATTGGTGGGTAATTCTAGTTAACCATATAATAGGCCCTGACGAACGTTAATGCACTCTGCTTGGTTCATATGATTTGGTAAATTCCTTTAAGATAAACTCAAGTTAAAAAATGAATTTTTGAACTGTGGCTGAAGGGCAGGGCAAAGAAGAATTTGCTGGTCTCTTGGGCAAAAATGCTTTCTTAAATAATTAGAGACAGGAATTTGAAAAGGTAGCCTTTCTGGGATCCAAATGAAAGGACTGATAAACATATTTTAAATAGTTGGTGTCCTAAAAATCAGTAACAGTTACTTAAAACTATCTGCCTACTATTTTTTAATGTCTGTTCAAAAAATTTTTTTTTTCCATAAAGGAAGCACAATTGCTTTGTAGGAATACTTTGCAAAAAAAAAAAAAAAATACCACTAGATCCGGCTGGTGGTTTAGCCTGCCAAGTAAGGTCAGCCTGGTTGCTTTGTGAGTCCCGTGGGCTTTCTGAGACACCAGGCGTTTGGTCGGAGGGTTCTAGGAAGGCTGGAGGATGGAGGAAGGATGATGACCGGGAGAGGATTAGGCCTTATTTTTGTTTTTGGCAAGGGTGGGAGTTGAGAGTGGAAGCAGGGCATGTATCATTCAGAGGCACCCCTTCCCCTACCCACTTGCCTGCTTTTTGTCCACAAATACCGTCATGTTTGAGGATCTGCTCGCATGGCCTTGAAGTTTAAAGCTGGATTCATTCTTGGGACACCTCCCATCTTCCTCTCCTTACAGTGTACTTGAAATAAGATCTCTTGCAACAGTGGATTTTGTCAGACGAGGCCATTCCCACCACTGTGGGCCTGTGAGAGACTGGCAGCATGCTGACACACCCTTCTGTGTTTCCCTTTTTTATCTTTTTTACAGCTATTTGCCGACAGGGCTGTAGCCCCAAGCATGGGTCTTGCAAACTCCCAGGCGACTGCAGGTAAACAACTCAACTTTTTTTTCTCCCTAATAATAATCCCTTTAGTGCAAAAAAGAGGACTGACTCTATTGTGAATATGTCTGTCTTTCATTGGAGGACAAGAAAACTTGACCAAAAAAAAATTCAAATAAGCACATCCGAAGCTTATTAAATTATACCAGCTGTCCACTGGAATGTACATGCTTGGGAAAAAAAAAAACTTCTGGGCATAGCGAGTGACTTCATGTATTAACGGTTCTGTAAATTGATAACACGTTGTTATAATCTTCCCCTTCAAGTGCTAATGGACTGTCGAGGACGGGGCTGGTGCTGGCCGTTGTGTTCCGTCTCCCGGCCCTCCCCCACTTTTCCCATCAGTCGGGAAAGTGGAGCATTCTTTAGAATGGGATTAGCACGAGCTCCTGGCCCCTTCGCAGGCGGGAGCCCGGCCGGTGCTGAGAGGTTAATGGCTGGGCTGGAATCTTGTCAGTTGAGCCTGATGAATGTAGACTTTTGCTGCCGACCTTTGAAGTCTGTTCTTTTATGGCCCAGGACAATGCAAGAAGCCAAACCTAGACCTCCCCCCGCCGCTTCCCGCTTACAGCTTTTGGAACTTCTTGAAATGTGCATCGTGCCCATCTGGGAAAGGCTTGTCTCAGGAAATGCTGTGGGTGTCTGGCATTTTGACAGGAGCACCCACTTTACTCCCCTCCCAAACCTGAAGGATCAGCAGATTTAATGTGACACTACATGGGTCCTTCGGATCCTCAAAGCCACTCCAGTTTGAACCGAGGGCAGCTTACAAATCTTTAGTCTAAACCAGTGCTTCTCAAACTGACGTTACCTGGGGTCTTGCACGGTCGCATATTCTGAGTCATATTCTGCGTCGGGGGCAGGGGGTTCAAATCTCAGCACTTGCAGCAAGCCTCCAGTGATGCCGCTGTAGCTGGAGGGACAAACCCCGGTTCTCAGTGTCCTGCCCCGAATTAACCGGGGGTGTGTGCAGATGCAGGTTCTGGGGTACCACCCTGCACCCAGATGCTCCCACTCACTGGGCCCGAGAATCTGCATTTTGGCCGGCCCACCTCAGCCACGTGGTCTTGCTGCTCAGAAAGTCTAGAGCACCTCGGGGTGCTCCCTGCCACCGGGAGCGCCGAACTCTGAGGCTGAAGGAGAGCTCAGGGCTGCTGAAGTCACACGGAAGCAGGCTGCTCTGAGATGTCTCTGTCCTTGCACTGCAGAGAGCGGCATTTATGCTCCAGGAGGCCGAGGGGGTTTGGGGCGGACCCCGTCAGTGGGGGCAGCTGGTGGGCGGGGAGCAGGCCCTTCTCCTGAAGGGTGCTCGTGGGTTCAGAGCAGCCGAGCTCACGGGCACCCGCAGTGCCTGCATTGGGCTCAGATGGGTATCAGCCTAGGGGTTGATTTCTGCTCCCGTCATCAGAATAAACATGCTGCTGCCCGGGGAGGCCCTCCCAGCCAGAACAACAGGCTTTGTCTCCAGAGCTGAGCCCTTCCTCTCTGGAAGCCTCCCTCCCACTCCTGCCTGGACACGCAGGCCCTTACTGACTGGAGGTGTGACTTTCCCACACAGCATTTGCATAGCCTCCCACCCTGCTCTTTCCTCTTCCCTTGAAAGAAAAATCAAAACAGAACCTTCTCGCCGGTCCTGCTGCTCAGGTAGCTGGATGGCCCGCGACCTGTAAGCGGCCCTCTGGATGGTGCCGACAGGGCTGGGGTTTTGTTGTTTCCCCCACATGAGAGAGCCTGCCTGCCTCTCTTGCTCCCCAGTCGACCTGGGTTCCTTTTCCTGGATGCACGGTCTTGCTTCATTGCAAGCCTGCCAATAATATCAAACTTAATTGTGAATCATCCTGTGAGGAAAGTCGCTTCAATTTCTCATGAGAACCTTAATCATATATTATTAAACTGGGATAACTTTGTGGATGCCTGTTTTAGGGTCAGTATTTTTATTTGTTTTCTTTTGAAGTCATCCGTGGCCTCTTGTGGTTCCTTTTTTATGCTTGGGGATCCAGCTCTCATTAATTAAGAGCTGAGGGCAGGTCCTCAGCTGTCTCTTCTTGCATTTTGTTAAGCAAATTGAAGAGGTGTAGCGAACCCTCATTTGGGAGGGAATTGGGGAAAGACAGTGATGAGAATGCTATTTCCAAATCAGCTCCGTCTTAATATCTACCTTCTATGCTGAGAATATCAAAAGCATCACCCTGAGCTCCCACCAACTTGAGGGTCCACTTTTAAAGAAGTTGCTACCAAAGGATTGACTTTGTTCTTATTTTACTCCATTAAATAGTCATTTGTCATTTAGACTGAAGTTTCATTTCAGATCAACCGGAATCCTGTGTCTGATTTTTAAACCGCACATCCTGGTGGTTCTCTGTACTGGGGCGTGGATGGCTTGCTTTTAGAAGTTAGGAAGTGGTTAGTCAGAATTCTCAGGGGCTAAGTTGACTCGCGGCCATGGGTGATTAGCTATTAGCTGGATCCCTATAATTTTCCCATGACGAGGGTTTTTAGCCAGCCTTCAGCTCTCTGGAAGCAGGAAGCCTTTGCATGTCGGGGTGCTTGTTTTCCCAAGTGCAGCCGAGTGGCCGGGAAGGGGGAGACGGTTCTGACAGGGCTTTGGTGGCCCACCTTGGAAATGCTTGCCTGCTGCTTGCCCTTGCTCACTGCCCCTTCCTCTGCCGTGGGGTCCCCTCCGCTCTGCTCCCACCTGTTTGCTGAAGCTGCGTTTCTGAGAAGATACAGTTGCAGAGGACTTGAAACCTGAGGGGAGAGTAGCTGAGCCCTGCCCCGTGAAGGTGTGTGCTTCTGGTTTTGTTTGAGGATCAAAGGCACTCGCTGGCCTCCAAAGAGTCCGATTAGTGATGCACTTATTTATAAAGGAAACGCACCTCTCTTCCCCAATGCTGGATAAACTGAGTTGGCTCGGTTTTTGCAAAGTGAGAAATAACTGCTATAGAATAAAGAGCATAAGCAGCCACGATGGTGGGTCATAGGTCACCCACAGAGCTGGCTCTGAGCACGGTTGCTTTCCTCGCTCTCCCTGCAGACATGTGTCCAGAAATCCAAGCCCATCTTGTCCCGTCTCAGGACGCCTCCTTGGGAGGCAGTTTCCCGCCGCCCTTGATGTCTTGTCGTGTGCTGTGGTCACGATGTGCTCTGAGCGGGCACCCCGCGGAGCTGCGGTGTAAAGCTCGCCACGTTTGCAGGACTAGTGCGTGGCTGCTGTCACTGGAGGGAGAGCCCTCTCTTCTGCCCCCAGGGCTTGATTGATTCCCCTGGGCTCCCGCGGGAGCCTGAGAAGAGAGAGGGGCTTTGTGCAGGAAGGCCCTGCGTGGGCCTCTCCCCAGACGGGGCCTGCCTTTTGTTGGGGGTCGCCTGGGCCTGGGAGGGGCCCTCGGTCCCGCTGTGAAAACGTTTGTTCAGCGGGAACCCCTGGACGGGCAGTCACCAGAACTGGCGAGCCTTCGGCTCCCCCGCCGGCTCTGGACGGTAAGGGCCGGCGCTGTGTGTCCGCAGGTGCCAGTACGGCTGGCAGGGTCTCTACTGCGACAAGTGCATCCCGCACCCCGGCTGCGTCCACGGCACGTGCAACGAACCCTGGCAGTGCCTCTGCGAGACCAACTGGGGCGGCCAGCTCTGCGACAAAGGTGCGTCCCGGGCGCGGGGACCAGGGGTCCACTCTCCTTCTGTTTGTTGGGGCTTTTATTCCGAATCTGCTTGAGCTTGCCTTTAATGCTGGAATTTGGGTCTGTTTCTCTCGGTTTTAGTTTGTAAAGAGGAATGGATCTAGAAATGCAGCAGGTGGGTAGCCTCTCTGATGTTTGAGAGACTTCTTTGGGGTCTTTTTGACAGATCTCAACTACTGTGGCACCCATCAGCCATGTCTCAATGGGGGGACTTGTAGTAACACAGGGCCTGACAAATACCAGTGTTCCTGCCCCGAAGGGTACTCCGGGCCCAGCTGTGAAATCGGTAAGTGGTCTAGGGCCCAGCTGTGAAATCGGTAAGTGGTCTAGGCGCGGAGAGACTCCCTTTTCTACTCTTCCTGTCCGCTTATCTCAAATACCCTTGGAGACTTGGGAAAGGTGAAACTGTCCTTGGTGTTAAGACCTGTGCTCCCAGAAGCTCTGTGGCTCTCTGAAACCTCCCTCCAGTTGCTCAAGTGTTTCGGGTGTGGCTGATGGCCTCGGGGCGGTGTATGCAGGGCAGTGACCCAGCTCCCAGTCGGAAGCTGGGAGAAAGGTGACCAGAGAGCTTAGTGAGAAAGGGGACTTCTTTTTCCCCCAGACACAGCAGGGTTGTGTCCCACACTCGCTTTCATTTCTTTTTTTTAAATATTTATTTATTTTTAATTGATGATTGGCTTACAACATTGATTTGATTTGTCATACATCAACATGAATTGATATGTTGTACGTATGCTAACACAGGTGGACCTGTGTCCTCTGCCTCTTGAATCTCCCTCCCACCTGTTTCCACCCCTCTAGGTTATTACAGAGCCCCAGTTTGATCTCCCTGAGTCACTCAGCAAATTCCCTTTGGCTGTCTATTTGCACATGTTAGTGTATACGCATCATTTCTTGAACAAGCTTGAGCTGGTGGCCCAGGGGTGGGCTTTGGGTGGGGTGGGCGGGGGGCTCGCGTCCGATAGCCTCTTGGTGGGCGTCCCATGCTGACGGCCCTCTGATGTCCACAGCGGAGCACGCCTGCCTCTCTGATCCCTGCCACAACAGAGGCAGCTGCAAGGAGACCTCCCTGGGGTTTGAGTGTGAGTGTTCTCCGGGCTGGACTGGCCCCACGTGCTCCACAAGTAAGTCCGGGCTTTGACCTGCATCCTTTCTTGGTGTGGGGGCCGTGGATCACTGTGTCGAGACGCGGGACTGTCCAGGCCCCGCGTTGTCTCCATGGGAGGGGTCAGACGTGCTCCGAGGCCCTGCCCCGGGAAGTCCCCAAGGCTCCTCTGTCTGAGGCAGCCCCCTGAGTCAGCACGTGCAGCTCTGGCGGGAAGAGGCTCCCTGGGAAAGCTGCTCCCTCTGCACAGCCCCCGGAGGCCTGCCTCCTCTGGGTTGAATCCTGGGGGCCGTGGTTCTCCTTGAAGTCCTGCAGATGCCACCTGTGGGGCAGGTTGTCACTACTGAAGTTCATTGTGGGGACAAACATTTTCCAAGAGGGACCAGGGCTACCAAGTTACAGACGTGTGGGTCCTACCGTTTCCCTTGGAGGTGGGGGTGTTGTCAGGCCTGAGGTCCACTTTCATCTACTCCTGATAGCAGGGGGCGACACAGTTAAGGATTTGGTTCTGGGATTGGGATTGCCCCCACCCACCGCCTGTGGGACTCTGGTTGCTGCCAACCTTGTTGCAACAGAGAAGGGTGGCTTCCTCTCTTCCCGTCTCCTGGGGCATGAAGGCTCAGCACGAGGTTTGCAGGAAGAGCCTGCCACCTCCTGAGTGTGCGGGAGACCGCCCCTCCCAAGGCCCTGGAGTCCAGTGCGGAAGTGGGAGGCTGGGCACCCCGGGCACGTTATTTTGGAAGAACTCTGTGAGCAGATACGAATGTAATTTTTTTCACCAGTGAAGAAAGTTATTTAATCCTTACCACTCCTTAGCAATCCCTGAGCTACGACGAAACTTTTCTTTAGAAATAAAGGTGGGCAGAGTTGGTGTCCCAAATTACCAAGGGCTGACGCCCAGGGATCCAGCTGGCTCTCCTGCCCGCTTAGGTCGGGGATTAGATGAACTGGGCCAGTGGGGGATTTAAAGCTAAAATCGGGCCTTACCGTCATCGTGGCCGTCACTTGTAGCAGGTGCCTGGCTCTTAAGTGAAGGTCCCTCATGTGAGGGGTGGGGTAAGCTACCTGATTGTCAAATGGATGGAGATTAAGTTGCCAACCCTCTGCTCTCTCTGTCCAACAGACATTGATGACTGTTCTCCAAATAACTGTTCCCACGGGGGCACCTGCCAGGACTTGGTGAACGGGTTTAAGTGCTTGTGCCCGCCCCAGTGGACTGGCAAAACGTGCCAGTTAGGTAAGAGAACTCCCGCACCAGGGTTAGCGTGAGTCCTCCGAGCTGCTAGGGAAGATGCATGTGACCGGCGGTGCCAGTTCAGCGCTGTCCCTCCCGAGAAGTCGTTTATTATCGAGGGTCGCGCCAGCGAGCCTGGGAGAAATCACGCGTATGCAAATGGCCTGGCTCTTGGAGGCCCTGTGGGAAAGTCGTGGGATTCCTCGAACCATGTCAATCGTCTGTCCGAGAAGTGTTCAGCTGGGTTCCAAACGGGGATGATCTCATGAGGAATGAGCTGTCTGCATTCTTTCTGCCACTTTTAAATCCCAGCAACTAGGCTACGCTGGGTTCTGCACAGAAGTGCCTGGTGCTCTCTGCCGTGCGGTTGGGGCTGGCTGTTCACAGCAGCTGGGAAGTTATCAGTTAGCGTGCCTTATTGGGTTATGGCTAGGAGGATTCAGATGTTCCAGATAGTATCTCTTATTTAGCGAGCTTATTGAAATGTCTCACTTCAGACAGACTATTGGTGGTTTCTTTGTGGGGGTGGGGTAGAACCCCATTTCTCACTGCTCATCCTCTTTCCTTTAGATGCAAATGAATGCGAGGCCAAACCTTGTGTGAACGCCAGATCCTGTAAGAATCTGATTGCCAGCTACTACTGCGATTGCCTGCCAGGCTGGATGGGCCAGAACTGTGACATAAGTGAGTGGGGCTCTCAGCACTTTGATTTTCATGACGCCAGGGTGTCGAAGGTGTTGGCCAGCTATATGTAGTCAGGCTCCAGGTTTAAGACTTGAGGAGAAGAAGGAAAACCTTATAGAGGGAATGTTTTTGGAGAGGGAGTGTTCGGTGAAAACATACTTGTTATCAGGCTCATTAGCTGGTAAAACGGCCATGCGCTGATAAGGTGGTTAAAACAATGATGTGAAGTTACAGTAGCTCAGTCTGGAAGAACTGGGGAGTGTTCCCACCCAGTAATAACCTTCTCTCACAGGAAGCTCACAGGAAATCTGCTTGGAGGTTTCTAATCTGTCCTGAGAGCAGAAGGCTTTTCAATTAAGCCCAATTTCAATGTAAATTGCCCCTCTGATGTGATGACTTGTTTGTTTTTTAGATATTAATGACTGCGTCGGCCAGTGTCAGAATGATGCCACCTGTCAGGTATGTAAATCTTTGCTTCAATCCAAACCTTAGTGATTGACAACAAGCCTTAAGATTGATGGGACCCTGGGAAAGCTCTGACCCTGGGAGATTTTAAACTGCAGATGAAAAGTGGGGCTCTGGACGCTTCACCCAGGCTCACATTACCCCAGCCTCCCTCCCGGGAATCATCTTGACAGCACGTGCATAGAAATTCCTCTCACATGTTTGGAGAGGCGTGGCCTCTTTTTCAGTGAATTGGCTGAACCGAAATAGTGACCCTGAACCACCGAAGCCCCACGTTTGTGCAGCACCTAGAAAAAATGCATGTGTTTCTCCCCCTCCTTCTCCTCCTCCAGGATTTGGTTAATGGTTATCGCTGTATCTGTCCACCTGGCTATGCAGGTGATCACTGTGAGACAGACATCGATGAGTGTGCCAGCAACCCCTGTCTCAACGGGGGTCACTGTCAGAACGAAATCAACAGATTCCAGTGTCTGTGTCCCACTGGTTTCTCTGGGAACCTCTGCCAGGTGAGCCAGGCTGGAGCGCGGATGGCCAGGTCTTCACAGGCGTCCCTCCCCTCCCTCCGTCCCCCGACACTGTCTGGAGCCTCCTCTTGCTAGATAAGCCGTGAAGGGAGGATGCTGAGCGACTGTCTTCCGGGTGTCTGTTGAGCTCTTTATTTCTCCCTGGAGGATACTTGCTTGTGCGATGTGTCGGTTTCTGCCATACAGCAGTATGAACCAGCCATGCGGACACGTCCTCCCCCTCGTGAACCTCCGTCCCGCCCCTGTAAGGACACACGTCCTCCCCCTCGTGAACCTCCGTCCCGCCCCTGTAAGGACACACGTCCTCCCCCTGTGAACCTCCGTCCCGCCCCCCACCAGCCTGTCAGTGTCTTTTTGTCAGTTTCATCCCAGACCCAGCGCTCTCCCACTCTGCCCTGTTTTTTTGAACGCTTACCTGGACAGTGTCTAGGACACAGTTGTAAATCCTGCTGCGTGTCCTCCTGACGGAAGCAGTTGGAAGGGTCACATTCCGGGGGCCACTGCCCCAGAGGAGTCATAATCACGCCTTTGCTTTGCTTTGTTCCCTGCCTGGGCCCTGGTCTTCACAGCTGGACATCGATTATTGTGAGCCCAATCCCTGCCAGCACGGCGCCCAATGCTACAACCGCGCCAGCGACTATTTCTGCAAGTGTCCTGAGGACTATGAAGGCAAGAACTGCTCCCACCTTAAAGACCACTGCCGCACCACCCCCTGCGAAGGTACCGCCCGCCCTGCTGAGCCCTGGCTCCTCTGCGAGGCCCCTCCTCCGCTCTGGCCATTTGTCACTGCCCTGGGACACTCGAGGGGAGTGCAGATTGATAGCCCCTTTGGAGGGAAGCCAGAACACGTGGAAACAATCTGTCCAGGCCGCCAGTGGGGGGACCATGCCTGCAAGTAGCCTGGGGAGAGAGGGAGGCTCATTTAGCATCCCGTCCTGGGACGGGCTGGTCTGCAAGCCCAGACTTTCCCTGGGGCACCATTTCAGCAGAGCCTTCTGTCTTGGTGGTCTCTGCTCCGGCAGGTACAAGAGCCTCAGGCCACGTGTGGTCCAGGGCATGTAGAGAGCGCTCAGGGCAAGTAGAAACCCTGATGTCCCTAACTTTAATTCACTTAGATGTAACTAGTGCCTTTGGCTGTGTGAGGTGGCTCAGCCCATAGGTTCTGTAAGTCCGTTCTGCCGCCGTGTGTGCCACTGAGTGGAGCGGAAAGCCGTTCCTCCTCGTCAGCCAGCTTCCAGAAGGTTTGGCAGATGTAGCCGGAAAGGTGGACAGGGCCTGCATGCATGAGCTTCTTGGCTCCACAGGGAGAAAATGCCTCAAAAAAAAAAAAAAAAAAACAAAACTCTGCATGGAGTGTCGGCTTTACCTGGCACAGTGCACGAAGCACGGTTTTTTGCCATCTTGGCCCCCGAGGTGCCTTGGAGCTTCTTACCTCAGCAGCCAAGGGCACTTGCCTCAGGGAGAGCAGGCGGCGTGGGTCCTGGGTTTCGAACGCTGCGTCCCTGGCGGGGCGCTGAGCCCAGGTCTGTCTTGCAGTGATTGACAGCTGCACAGTGGCCATGGCCTCCAACGACACGCCGGAAGGAGTGCGCTACATTTCCTCCAATGTCTGCGGCCCCCACGGGAAGTGCCAGAGTCAGTCGGGAGGCAAGTTCACCTGTGACTGTAACAAAGGCTTCACCGGAACGTACTGCCATGAAAGTAAGACCTCGTGGGTCAGGGCCGGGGGCGAGCACCCCTCCCTGCCTGGCCTAGCCGGGGGTGGGGGCGGGGCCTGGATCCTTTTAAGTGAGACCAGCCCAGGGTTGCTATCAGGGATCCACGACCGAGGTGGTGTTCAAGTGAGATCACTGATGCCTCTGGTCTCCAGCATATTTGTTTCAGAAGGTGCTGAAACCTTCATCGATAGGGTGGTCCGCCTTCCGTAGCAGCTTCTTCCTGACTCTCACTGAATGGACAGGTTGCCCTTTGGAGGCCCCTGCTTCCCCAGCTGCCTGTCAGGTTCCAGGACAGTCCTGATGGAGTTTAGCGTGGCGGTGTTGGGTGGCTCTTCTCGGGAGGAGCTGGAAGCTCCTAGGCGAGTGCTGGCGGCGGCCTCGCTTGTCCTGCATTCACCCAGGTTCTGTGCCCCTCCTTCTGCAGACATTAACGACTGTGAGAGCAACCCCTGTAGAAACGGCGGCACCTGCATCGACGGCGTCAACTCCTACACGTGCATCTGCAGCGGCGGCTGGGAGGGGGCCCACTGCGAGACCAGTGCGTCAGGCTCCCTGGGGAGGCAGCGCTGGGCGTGGGGGGCAGAGGCAGCCCGGCAGGCCTTTCCTTTTAGTGAGAATGTCTGGAAGCAAGGCCCCAGCAGCTCCTGCCCTGGGACAGGAGAGCCTGTGTGCTGTTAGCAGTCGATGGTGCTCATGCCAGCCCATGGGAGGGAGCTTCTGTGGAGATGCTTTGAGAATTAGCCCCTGGAATTAGGATGCTAGACATCTCAGCTTACAAAGAAAGGGGTCATCTTTTCCACCCATTCTGAGTTCAACTTGCATGACTTGTCCTAGGCTCCTTTATTCCTGGGAAAGGCTGACCCTGCCGAAGTCCTGGGTTGGCTGTGCTGGTTTTTGAACTGGGAGTAGAAAACGGGGTGAAGGTGGAAAGGCACGCCTCTCACACGTCGTGGGGCATTGAAGGGCCTGGGAGTGTTTTCAGCGGGTGTCTGCTCTCCCTGCAGACATTAACGACTGCAGCCATAACCCCTGCCACAACGGCGGCTCCTGTCGCGACCTGGTCAATGACTTTTACTGCGACTGTAAGAACGGGTGGAAAGGCAAGACGTGCCACTCACGTAAGTGGGAGCTGGCGGGGACCCTGGCCTGTGTCGGGGGCGGGGGGCGGTCGGGCCCACACCGATCTCCTCGTACAGGGGACAGCCAGTGTGACGAGGCCACGTGCAATAACGGAGGCACCTGCTACGACGAGGGGGACGCTTTCAAGTGCATGTGCCCTGGAGGCTGGGAAGGCACAACCTGCAACATAGGTACGTTCCGCCCCTGCGGGCGTGGGAGCGCCGGGCAGCCGAGTGCCTGGGACCGCTCTCTGGGGCCCCTGTTTTGCCCCTCAAGAGGTCTCCAGAGCCTCAGGAAGTGTGGTCTTGTCTCGCAGCCCGGAACAGCAGCTGCCTGCCCAGCCCCTGCCACAACGGGGGCACCTGTGTGGTCAATGGCGACTCCTTCACGTGTGTCTGCAAGGAAGGCTGGGAGGGACCCATCTGCACGCAGAGTGAGTGACCCCCTAACCCCGAGGTCTGCAAGGGCCCGCCCTGACACCCGGGGCTGGTGATGGAAAGCAGAAGTGGAGCTGTGTGACGGCTCCGAGTGCATCGCCTGGGCCTGTTCTAAGGCCTTGATGGCAGGCAGCCCTGCCCCGGGCATGAGAAAGTCACCTACGAGATAAATGGACACAGATGGCGGCTCGCTTCCCGGCCCTGGTCTGACCAAGAGCCATTCTCACAGCCCCCTGCCCAGCCCGCCTGGGGCCTCTTCCTCTGTACAAGAGTGTCCCACGGTGACTGCAGCAAAGTGTGATGTGGGCCTGGTTCCAATTGAGCAGGGGTCTGAAGCTCCTTCTGCTGGCGTTAATGACAGCCTTATCGTTTGGGTAGCCTGGAAATCACAGGTGTTTTCACTTAGGGCTAAGAAGACTTCGCTGTTAAGTTTTTAAAATTTTTTCCTTTTTTTTTTGTTTTTTTGCAGACACCAATGACTGCAGTCCTCATCCCTGGTAAGCATGGTGACCTGTTAGGCAGGCACTTGTTGGCTGTGACAGGTGTGGGCCTCTCCTGGGCCTCTTGTGTAAGATCCAGCTTCTGATTCAGGAGGGCTGGTGGGTGCTGCAGATTCCTTCTTTCTGACACGCCCCCAGGCCGTGCCCTTCATGCTAGTCCGTGGGCCACACCTTAGTCAGATGGTGTCCGCATTTAGAGCAGTGATGCTTAGACTTGGCTGGACACAGGAATCACCAGGGAGGATTTAGTGACTGGGACGCGACTGGCGCTCCTGCAGCCAGAAGCTGTGAATTGGACGCTCTGGGGTGGGACCCAGGCACTGGTGTGGGTGGGCAGGGCTGAGAGCTGCCCATCATAACTGGTGTGGGGCCACCTTTGGTCGGGGCAGGGGCAGACTGGGAGGTGGTAACCAAGGGGCCTTTGCTCTCGTAGTTACAACAGCGGCACGTGCGTGGATGGTGAGAACTGGTACCGCTGTGAATGTGCCCCTGGCTTCGCTGGGCCCGACTGCAGAATAAGTAAGGATCACCTCTGACTGGTTTCTCCCCACCCCACCCCTTTGTCTTGAGTTTTCATCTTTCAAATAGTTATGGCCATGGTTCTAAGCAGCCTTGACAAATAATCTCCTGCTTCCACCTGGGAGTAAGATGCCCCTGGCTGGGATCTCCCTCCCACGGGCCTCCTGGCCCTTCCCTGGGGGCACAGCCTGCCTCGTTCTTGGGGAGAGAGGCCTCGGCCACAGCATCTGATGGTTAATCGACTCTGAGGCTCCTCCCTGTGATAACGTGAAGTGATGGGCAAGGGTGCACAGCCACAGCCATGCTGGTGGGGGATAGACCTCAGCCACAGGAAGGGCTTGATCAGGCCCCACTGAAATGATTCAAACAAAATGAGGTCAGGAAATGCAGTTTTTTAGGAAGTTTACAGTTTATTCTGAGCCTTTTTCCTACTTTTTTACATGCCCTTTGTTTTGCCAAAAAAAAAAAAAAGGTGATACATCAGTTGTGCTTCTTTGTGTGTGTTCTTATCCCTCAATAATTTGAAGTTTTACTGGTTCTCCTTGAGGTCCCCAAGTCTGGATCTCCAAGAACTACTGGGTGGGAGAAAGAAAAGTGAAAGTGAAGTCAGAGTCGTGACCAACTCTTTGTGACCCCATGGACTGTAGCCCATCAGGCCCCTCCGTTCATGGGATTCTCCAGGCAGGAATACTGGAGTGGGTTGCCGTTGCCTTCTCCAGGAGGTCTTCCCAACTCAGGATCTTCCCGGGTCTTCCCAACCCAGGAATCGAACCCAGGTCTCCCACACTCAGGCAGACTCTTTACCGTAGGAGTCCCCAGGGGCTCCACTGGGTGGGGGAACTTTGTATCTATTTCATGTTTCTGAATCAAGGACTGGCAGGTTATGCAGGTTGTGCCCTGGGGGCCAAGTCTGGCCCACTGCCTGTTTTTATAAAGTTTTATTGACCCACAGCCACACTCTTGTTTACATACTGTCAAGGGTTGCTCTCATGCTGCAAGAGTTGAGCAGTTGTCACAGAGACCACATGGCCCGCAAAGCCTAAGATACTTGCTGCTGCTAAGTCACTGCAGCCGTGTCCGACTCTGTGCGACCCCACAGACGGCAGCCCCCAGGCTCCGCCGTCCCTGGGACTCTCCAGGCAAGAACACTGGAGGGCTGCCATGTCCTTCTCCAATGTGTGAAAGTGAAAAGGGAAAGTGAAGTCGCTCAGTCGTGTCCAACTTTCAGCGACCCCATGGACTGCAGCCCACCAGGCTCCTCCGTCCATGGGATTTTCCAGGCAAGAGTACTGGAGTGGGGTGCCGTTGCCCTCTCCCAAGCTACTTGCTAGCCTGACCCTTTTCAAGATCTTTGCTGGCCTTTGTCCTGTAAATTACACTATCAGAGAAAAGGAGCATTTAATTAAAAATTGCTGTTTCCCTGAAATTCTCAGAAATTCTGAGAAATTCTCAGCTGTTAGAAGTCAGGCTAGTGGTGACCCTTGGTGGCGGTGACTGGAGACTTTGGGAGTACTGATGATCATTTCTTCGTTTGGGTGCTGGTCCCATGATGAAAACGCACTCAGCCTATACTTGGGCCCACAGATCCTGTCTGTGTGTTTTATCAGAAGAGCACTGTTGCCTCCCGTTGGAGCCTAAACTTGAACTCCATTTCTCCTAGACATCAACGAATGCCAGTCTTCACCGTGTGCCTTTGGGGCGACCTGCGTGGATGAGATCAATGGTTACCGCTGTATCTGCCCCCCAGGGCACAGTGGTGTCAAATGCCAGGAAGGTATGTGGGCCAGGTCCAGCTGCTGTGGGTCCCCTGGGCTGAGCGGGCATTGCAGCCACCTTTCTGACTAGTCATGTGTGGACACTGTCAGGGAGAGAACATAGAGAACATAGAGGTCTCCCGTTCCTGGAAAACCACAGGAACGGGAAACCTGAGGGTCCTTTGAAATAGTCGCTGTTAGTTTTAGCCAGCTTTTGTCACCATTATGCTCTGTAACAGCCCTCCCCAACCTCTGTGCCTACAGCAAGCAGCTGTGATGCTCGTGGGCACACAGGGCAAGCAGAGTGATGCATGCCCCATGCTGGGGTCCCAGTTCTGTTCTGTATGTCACCCCCCCCCCCTTTCTGGACCGGCACCGTACCCAGGGCGTGTCCTTTCCCTGGCAGACAGCAGGCTCTCGAGGGGCCGCGCTAACTCCCAGGGGAGACTCTGCTCACTCCTGTCCCTGGACGCTGCACTGACTAAAGTGGTCAGGTTGCCAGGTGCCGGACCCCTCAGGGGGAGGAACACTTGCCTGTTGTGGAGCCCCTGCGTTGTCACGGGCGAGGGGCGACAGGCGTTAGCACCTCCCGCCGGGCAGGGAGTGAAGAATCAGGAGGCCCGTCTCCAGAAAGGGCAGCCCCTGCCACTCACGGGTCTCCGCCTCAGTTTCAGGGAGGTCGTGCGTCACCGTGGGGAGCGTGATGCCCGATGGGGCCAAGTGGGACGCCGACTGCAACGCTTGCCAGTGCCTGCAAGGGAGGGTCGCCTGCTCCAAGGTAGGCGCGGCCTGGCCGCCCGCGTCCCGGGGCTGCGCGGACCGCCAGGCGCCCCCTGAGCCGCGCCTTCTGCTTCCGCAGGTGTGGTGCGGGCCCCGCCCCTGCTCGCTGCACAGAGGGCACGGCGAGTGCCCCAGCGGGCAGAGCTGCGTGCCCATCCTGGACAGCCAGTGCTTTGTGCGCCCCTGCACCGGGGTGGGCGAGTGCCGGTCCCCAAGCCTCCAGCCCATGAAGACCAAGTGCATGTCCGACCCCTACTACCAGGACAACTGCGCCAACATCACCATCACCTTCAACAAGGAGATGATGTCGCCGGTATGCAACACTTCTGGCTGGCTCTGGAGAGGTGGGGTGTGTCCTCCGCTTGCCCTACAGCAGAGACATCACGTGCTTGGATCTCTTCCTTAGCCTGGATTCTTGTCCTTCACCCAAGCTCGGCTTGCACGCAGCCTCCCTTTCAAGTAAACAGCAGTCGTTTTTCATTCCGCTCCCTTTTACATGTGTGGATTTCAAAATATCATTCTAGGGTCTTACCACGGAGCATATTTGCAGCGAACTGCGGAATTTGAATATTTTGAAGAATGTTTCTGCCGAATATTCGATTTACATAGCTTGCGAGCCTTCCCCTTCTGCAAACAATGAAATACACGTGGCCATTGTGAGTATGAGACCCATTCACACCTAGTCGTTTCATTGGAAGTAGCCCACAAAGGTCACTCGGCTAGCATCCAGATGAGCAGGTGCATGGAAGGCGAGCTGGAGGTACATGTGTGTCAGGTGCCCAGTCGTGTCTGACTCTTTGCAACCCCATGGACCATAAGGCACCAGGCTCCTCTGTCCATAGGATTTCCTAGGCAGGAATAGTGGAGTGGTTGCCATTTCCTTCTCCAGATCTTCCCAACCCAGAAATCCTCCTGCATTGTAGACAGATTCTTTTCCATGTGAGCCAGCAGGGAAAGGCATACATGTATGGGCAAATAATTTTGAGTAAAAGTGACTGGTGAGTGTCCCTGACCCCCGGGGTCTGCTGCTGCTTTTTCCAGTCTGCTGAAGACATCAGGGAAGATGGGAACCCTCTCAAAGAGATCACCGACAAAATCATAGATCTTGTCAGTAAACGTGATGGGAACAGCTCGCTGATCGCTGCCGTTGCGGAAGTGAGAGTTCAGAGGCGTTCTCTGAAGGACAGAACAGGTAGGTGGTGGAGTAGGAGTCCCTTTCTGTGAGGACCGTCCTGTCCAGCTCATCAGTAAGACCAGTACAACCCGCATCCAGGGAAACCCCCAGGCGGGAAGTTACCTGCCGGTTCCCTGTTCAAGGACTCCCATTTTTAATTACGAGAAGACAGAGGCCGGCTGACGGGCCAGGATCCCACGGCTGTGGGCAGAGGCGCTTGACTCGTCCCCTGCCTGCGGGCTGTCTCTGGCCGCCAGGCACCGTCCTGGCAGAGTGTTGCTGTACCCCGAGTACACGTCTTCGTGGAGCCTGCCTTGTGCTCCGGTGTTGGGGAACAGCGCATCCTAAGCGCGGCTTTGATTGAATGGCTCAGTGGCCCTGCAGGGCAGCCGGGGCCCCCTGGGATCCCGGGAGCATCACTGTGCTATAGCTGGCACTGGACCCCCCGGGGGTTGCAGCCATGCGTCCCAGGGCCCTCTTTCTGATGATTCTGAGAACCAGCTTGTCCCGTGAGCTGCCTCGGTAGCCAGACTCCCCACCCCTGGCCCAGACAGCCCTCCCCACATGGATGTGGGCACCCGTCTGGGCTGCCGTCTGGCCTGGTCTCTCCGGGGAGGCCGGCGGGGAGGGGCGGTGCGGATAGGGAGGGGCCGTGGGGTGGCTCACCGGGCCCCCGCCGCCGCCCCGCCGTGCAGATTTCCTGGTGCCGCTGCTGAGCTCCGTGCTGACCGTGGCCTGGGTCTGCTGCCTGCTGACCGCCTTCTACTGGTGCGTGCGCAAGCGCCGGAAGCCGGGCAGCGACGCGCGCGCCGCCGCCGAGGACAACACCACCAACAACGTGCGCGAGCAGCTGAACCAGATTAAGAACCCCATCGAGAAGCACGGGGCGAACACGGTCCCCATCAAGGACTACGAGAGCAAAAACTCCAAAATGTCCAAAATAAGGACACACAACTCGGAGGTGGAGGAGGACGACATGGACAAGCACCAGCAGAAGGCGCGCTTCGCCAAGCAGGCCACGTACACGCTGGTCGACCGAGAGGAGAAGCCCCCCCACGGCACGCCGGCCAAACACCCCAACTGGACAGACAAACGGGACAACAGAGACCTGGAGAGCGCGCAGAGCCTGAGCCGCATGGAGTACATCGTATAGCGGACGGCGGCGCCGTCCGGGGCTCCCGCTCCGCAGCCGCCCCGTCTGCCGCGCTCCGGCCCCACGCTGTCCCGGGCCCAGAGCCCCGTGTTAATTTAAGTTCTGACCAGCTGGCTTACACTGGCAGCGGTAGTTTCTGTGGTTGGCTGGGTGGCACCGCACCGCAGCTATGCGGGTGCCGGGCCCCCCGCACCTCCGGATCAGGCCCCCAGGAGATCGCCCAGCTTCCACTTCTGCCAGATGTCCCGATGGTGATGCAGGCTTAGGACCATAGTTCTTATTTATATTTATTGACTCTTGAGTTGTTTTTGTATATTGGTTTTATGATGACGTCCAAGTAGTTCTGTATTTGAAAAGTGCCTTTGCAGCTCAGAACCACAGCAACTATCACAAATGAGTTTATTATTTATTTTTTTTATTGTATTTTGTTGTTGTTGTTGGGGGAGGGGGGACTTCGATGTCAGCAGTTGCTGGTAAAATGAAGAATTTAAAGAGGAAAAATGTGTCAAAAGTAGAATTTTGTATAGTTATGTAAATAATTCTTTTTTTTATTAATCACTGTGTATATTTGATTTATTAACTTAATAATCAAGAGCCTTAAGACATCATTCCTTTTTATTTATATGTACGTGTTTAGAATTGAAGGTTTTTGATAGCGTTGTAAGCGTATGGCTTTATTTTTTTGAACTTATTTTCTTATTACGTGTTGCCTATAAGCCAAAATTAAGGTGTTTGAAAATAGTTTAAGACAATAGGATGGCCTTTCGTGCCTGGAATACTGGTGGAATTTTTTTTTTTCGTACGACGTCAGATATTTAAAACCCCGACTGAGGCAGTTTGAGAATTAGTCTAGAACAGGTGTTTTTTTTTTTTTTTAGACTTGAAGAGAGACAGGCAGATGATCTGCTGCCTAGCAGTTTAAGGGAACAAGGTGAGCTGTGACTAAACATAGCCGAAACATGAGTGGTTGAAGATCAATAAAAATATCAAATTAATTGTGTGAAGTTGGAAGCACACCAATCTTATTTTGTAAATTCTGATTTCTTTTCACCATTCATTATGTAAGACTGATTTGATTTTTTTATCTACTGCATTTAGGGAGTATTCTAATAAGCTAGTTGAATACTTGAACCGTAAAATGTCCAGTAAGATCACTGTTTAGATTTGCCATAGAGTCCACTGCCTGCCTTAAGTGAGGAAATCAAAATGCTATGATGAAGTTTAAGTTCAAAAAGGCTTATTCAAAACTGATTTTGTTAGTTCACCATTGAGACCGTGAAGACCCTTTGTATTGTCCTTTTAGTGTTATACGAACATAAACTTGCATCTTTGTGTTGTTCCTGGCAATACATTTTGAAAAGTCATATTTATTAAATTTTTTGTACGAAAACATGGACCAGTGTGGCCTCTTCTGAGCTTACGTAGTTCTGCCCAGCTGTGCCTCTGCCGCCGGCCTGGGTCTGTCTGGTGACCAGGATGCGAGAAGCAGGCTGTACTCCTCGGGGGCCCAGAGCAGGAACGGCAAGCCTTTTCAGCCATCACCTTCTTCTTAAGTTCTTGAAACCCCTCCCAGAGAGGCTGCTGTGAAGCTGGAGCTGCGAGAGCCCCGTCGTGGGGGCCTTGATGCCCTTGTTATTCGATAGCGAGTGTGAATACTGCTTGAATAAACACCACTGGATTAATGGCCTGTAGTGTGGACGTGAATTGTTTTGAGCAATTTGGGGGTGATGCCCACCTCAGAGGGTTTTAAATAGCTTGGAATCGGTGCTGGGGGATTAGGAGGGAGGCAGGATGCTTTCTCTTCCTTCTCTGGCTACTTGGATGAATAGGACTGTCCTGGCATCACTGTGGACCACATCCGTAAGGCTTTGTGCATGCTTGTGCCTCCAGGCTGGCCTATGGGAGGAGGTGATGCCAGGCTCCGGGGGTGAGGGCCCATCTCACTGTTCATCACCTTGCTCCCGGGGGTGAGCCCACACTGGCCTCCCTCTCGCTCAGCCCTGGGTGCCAGTGCTAGGCTGCTTCCGCCGGTGACAGGCAGGAGGGCCGTGGCTGTCAACTTGCAGCTGCTGGGCTGAGGGCAACAGGCATGCCCGCGCGGTGTTGGGAGTGTGTGTGGGGCTCTACTTCTGGCACCTCTGCGTGGAGGGTGAGCCGCCAGTGATGGGCTCGTGGACAGCTTGCAGCAGCTTCGGGGACCTGCCAGGAGTGCCCTCCTCTGTGCAGAAAGCCCCAGCTTGCCCTCCTCCCAGCCGCGGCTCTCTGGCTGGGCGCCCCATCCAGCCTTTGTGGTGCACGTCCAACTGCAGCACCAGGCTGAGCGGAGGAAAAGCTCATGTGGGTGTTGATCTTGCTTCATTCTTGGGACCCTTCTCTTTCTACCAGGTTAGGAGCTGTGTCCCAGCGGGTGTCGTGGTTAATGGATGGCAGGTTGAGGCGTCCCTGTTCCTTGTGCATGAGCGGGGGTGGCGACGGAGTTCTGGCTCAGTGGGGAGGTGGCCCCAAGGACGAGCACCTAGACGAGCCTGGTCCCCACCGGCTCCCCATCCCAGGGCGGCTCTTTGCGGGGTGGGGTGGTCCCTGTGACAGCTCCCCGCCCCGGTGCGGCTCTTTGCAGGGTGGGGTCAGAGGGAGGAGCAGACCGACCAGTAGGACCAAGTCTGAATTCCAACACTACCTTGCTCTGGTGGTTTGTAAACTTGAATTCTGTAGGACCCCCAAATTCCCTGGATAGTTGCCAGATGCTTGTGTGCCAAGAAAAAAGTTTGATGAGCCTCTTGCAGTTCTTTGTTCTAAGAGACGAGTGATCTCGAGATTGTTATTTCAAGGAGCCGTCTGTGCAGGACACGCTGGGTGGTGGAAAGGAGGAGACAGGCTCATCTAGACACAGTTCAAAGCCAGGACCTTGGTTGTTAAAGGTGGTTGTCACCTTTCTTCAGACGGCAGGCATCCTGCACTGGGGTCCTGGTTGTCCTGGGGGCAGGAAAGTGCAAGAGAAGAGCCCCAGAACCGCTCCCCCCGCCTCCCCAGAAAGTTCTGTGCCCTCTATAATCAGACCCTGGGAGATGAAGAATTTTCCGTTCAGAAACGTGATGAACTAGAATTCCAACATTAGTACATATATACCATGAAACTCCAGGAAAACAGCAGCTCAAAGCTGGTTGCTTTAGGATGGGAAACTGTCCTAGGACTCTAGACATATATACACAATATAGAGTTAGAACAGAAAATGGGAGTATAGCTTGACTAAAAGTCCAATGAGACTGGATGATGAGCAGAGAAGCAGAACTTGCAAAGGTGTTTCTCTTAAATGCAGAATCCCGGTCCTGGCCCCTGACTTGCTAAGCGGGGCCTGGGAACCTGTAGTTTTTAGCAAGCTGTCCCCTCCTCCCCCCACCCTCCCCAGCTTAGGTATGGCAGACTTTGAAAACAGCGTCACCAAGGTATTCAAGCTCTTCCGTTAATTACAAGGTTTTTCCTCCTTGTTAAACTGAATTAAGCAGTCTGGAAGCCAGTTTGTTGCTCAATTGCCACCTGACATCATTTTTAAGTAAATCAGTTACACTACCCCTTGAGCAAGTTGTGGTGTAAGCGCTTCATTTTATTGGCTGATCTGAGGGATCAGTGAGTCAAAGTTAACTTATTTGGTAATCTTTCTTAGGTAGCAAAGAGCCCAAGGAACCAGCCTGTGGGTTTGCCACATTTCCAAATGGCATACACCTGTCGACCCCAAAGTGAGCGAGGGTGTGGCAAACAACCAGTTGCTTTTAAAGAAAAAATACAAAACTCCCACTGGCCTGCAGGGGTTTGCAACTCGGGCTGAGCTAGGTTCCAGCACTTCCGCTTCCATGGCGGCTTGCTTTCTTGCCTCTGCTGGGAATGAAAAGCAGGAGTCAGAGGTTCCGGGGCTGGGAAGACATACAAGCGCTGGGTTATGGGAAGCCTCCTCCTGCTAATGTGTATTTACACTTTGTAAGCTCTGATTCATCTGAGCGTTGAAACAGAAATCTGCTTCCTGAGGTTCTGTTTTTAAATAGATAGTTTGCAAAAACAACAATTATTTTTCTTAACATTTTTTTTCCATCCCACAAGCAGCTAAACATCCCGACTCAGGCTATGTCAGGCTCTAACTATGCCAACAGACAGCTTGGTTATCAGAAGTAGAAGCGTGCCCCAGGGCAGTTCTGTGGGGTTCTGGCCCCACAAGTCTTAAAGACAGAGTTCAGAAACCATTAGGGCGATCATGTTGCATCATTTTAAGTCCATGAGAGATTCCTGGGTCTATTAAGAATAAAGAACTTCCCCCTGTGAACAACTAACTGCCTTCCAATGGTGGTTAAGGGCAAGTGGGGGTGATGGTTGCAGGGCTTGGGTGCCGCTGCCTGGCACAGAAGGGCCTGCACACAGTGTGGCACCCTCTGAGATGGTGTCACGAGGGTGTGGCTCCCCGGCTTTGGACATAAATTCTACCTGTGTTACTTGCTCTTGCATGCCAGGCACAGGCTTCTGGCTTAGACTGTTTCTTTCAAGTCCTGGGCAGCTTTTACAAGTCTTAAATTATGTATCATTATGCATGGGTCCAGTATTAACCTGTGATACGCAAGTTGGGGAAATTAACTTGGCGAGTAAAGGCTCTAAAGTCCAATAAGAACCTTGAATCGAGGCCTGCCCACTGCCCTACACCCCACCTCCACCCCCCGCCCCACGCCTCCCTGGCCACTCTCCACATCAGGGCACCCAGAAGCTGAATTACCCAGAGAGGGAAAGCAGATGCCGGCAACAGCATTTTTTTTTAAAGGGAGCTCTCCTGGCAGGGACAGCGGGGCTCCGCCTCCATCCCAGGGGAACACAAGCTGGCAGCTGGCTTCCTAATGACCGCTCAGCACCCAGACGGGTTGGGCCCCGCTCTGTTTTCCACCTGAAAGGGGAAAAGCTGCTTTACTTCAGCCTTTCTCAGAAAAGTGCAGCTGAAAAGCCTTCATGGGAGACTCACTGGATATTAACGCAATCGGAGACCTTGCCAAGCAAAGGATCTGCCCTCTTTTGCTTCCCCAGGTGGGAAAACTGGGACCTAGAGAGCATCGGGGACCCTTTCCAGGTCACACCGAGTTAGCAAGAATTAGGACTAGAATCGGGGGCTCCTGCCAGCTGGGTTGCTGTGTTTTCAGCGTCTTCTGGGGATTTGTCAGGTTTATCTCCAGAACCTGCCCTTGATGTGATTGTCAAAGATGCAGACTTGGGAAGTGAGCAAGGGACCAAAATGAAGGCACAGGATGCCACCAGAAAGTCAGTGTGACCATCCGAGCTTTGCCTCCTCCAGACTCCGCCTAGAAATGGACAGCTTTAGGACCCCACGAACAATACACATTCCCCAAACCAA